TCACCATGCCCAGCTAATTTTTTGTATTTTTAGTAGAGACGGGGTTTCACCATGTTGACCAGGATGGTCTCGATCTCTTGACCTCGTGATCCACCCGCCTCGGCCTCCCACAGTGTGGGGATTACAGCCTTGAGCCACCGCGCCCGGCCCACAATTTCTTAGAAATGGGAAGGGCTGGATGTGCTGGCTTAGACCTGCGATCCCAGTACTTTAAGAGATCAAGGTGGGAGGATGCTTGAGACCTGGCAAGCATAGTGTGACTTACCAACCTGGGCAACACGGTGTGACTTCATTTCTACACATTTTTTTTTAATTAGCCAGGTGTGGTGGCTCATACCTGTGGTCCCAGCTACTTAGGAGGCAGAGGCAGGAGGATTGCTTAAGCCCAGGGGTTCACGGCTGCAATGGGCTGTGATTGCACCACTGCACTCCAGCTTGGGCAGCAGAGCCAGACCCTGTCTCTAAAATTAAATAAATAAATAAATATTTTTTAAAAAATAAAGTGAAAAGAAGGTCAAGGCGGGAGGATCACTTTAGGTCAGGAGTTTGAGACCAGCCTGGGCAATATGGCGAAACGCCATCTCTACAAAAGAAAAACAAAAATTAGCCACTTGCGGTGGTGCACACCTGTAGTCCCAGCTACTTGGGAGGCTGAGGCGGGAGGATCACTTCAGCCTGTGAAGTTAGAGCTGTACTGGCTGGGCGCAGTGGCTCACACCTGTAATCCCAGCACTTTGGGAGGCCAAGGCGAGTGGATCACCTGAGATCAGGAGTTTAAGACCAGCCTGGCCAACATGGTGAAACTCTGTATCTACTAGAAATACAAAAATTAGCCAGGTGTGGTGGCGTGTGCCTATAATCCCAGCTACTGGGGAGGCTGAGGCAGGAGAATCACTTGAACCTAGGGAGCGGAGGTTGCAGTGAGCTGAGATTGTATAATTGCACTTCAGCCTGGGCAACAAGAGAAACTCCATTTCAAAAAAAAGCTATAGTGAATTGAGATCTTGGCACTGCCCTCCAGCCTGGGCAACAGAGTGAGACCCTGTCTCAAAAAACAGAGGAAAGAAGGCAAAGTGGCAAGCCCCCTATGTGTAAAACTGTCCTCCCTGCTACAGAGGACAGACGAAGCTAATTCAAACTTGGAGTTAATAACTTTTTGTTTTTTTTGAGACAGAGTTTCACTCTTGTTGCCCAGGCTGGAGTGCAATGGCACCATTTTGGCTCACTGCAACCTCTGCCTCCCAGGTTCAAGAAATTCTCCTGCCTCAGCCTCCCGAGTAGCTGGGATTACAGGCATGTGCCACCATACCCGGCTATTTTTATATTTTTAATAGAGACGGGGTTTATCCATGCCGGTCAGGCTGGTCTCGAACTCCCAACCTCAGGTGATCTGCCCGCCTTGGCCTCCCAAAGCGCTGGGATTACAGGCGTGAGCCACCACGCCCAGCCAGAGTTACTTTCAGCATTCAATTTCCGTGACATTGACATTGTTAGTGGTAGGGTGACATTGTTAATGACAGGGTGGAGAAAGATAATTCACATTTTCTTTGGATTCTCACAGAGCAGATGGAGGCTTCTCTAGTCCATTAGGATTCGGAGAAGGTCAGAAGTGGATTTTCATGACCACAGCTACCAGCTGCAAAACTGCCTAGCTCCACGGGGTCGCGCTGTTGCAGCTGCCTGTGCCCATCTGAGGACCAGGAAGTTCCTTGCCTGCATCTGAAGATCCTGCGGCTTTGGCCATGGGCCTCAGCATCCAGCCTTGGGAGCCCGGGTCCTGCTTTGCAGATGTGGCCAAGCGTTTGTGAGTATACCAGGGTGACGCCTTTCCTCCTGCGGCTCTCTGTTTAGGCCAACACAGAGCGGTTTGAGATGGAGACTCGGGGAGTTAACCATGTCGAGGGGGGCTGGCCCAAGGACGTGAACCCCCTGGAGCTGGAGCAGACCATCCGCTTCCGGAAGAAAGTGGAGAAGGATGAGAACTACATTAACGCCATCATGCAGCTTGGCTCTGTAAGGCTTCCTCCTGCCCTGGCTGTGAGAGCCCCACCCCTCAGACTCCCCGCGGGGGTGCGGTGCCCCAGCTGTGCCTGGCCCTCCCTGTGTGGCTGCTGTGGACGCTGGGGAAGGGGACCAGCTGCTACCTGAAGGAGCCTTCTGTCTTGGAGCAGACAGAGGTCCCAATCGCAGACCAACAGGGAAGGCAGGGACCTGGTCCAAGGGTTGACCGGGCATTAGGAGGAGTCTGACCTCCGGCAAAGGGGACCCCCAAAGCGCTCTGCCCAGCAGCCAGTAGGGATCATTCATTCATTCGACAAATTTGGGGCCGGGCACAGTGGCTCACACTTGTAATCCCAGCACTTTGGAAGGCTGAGGCAGGTGGATCACCTGAGGTCATGAGTTCGAGACCAGCCTGACTAATGTGGTGAAACCCCGTCTTTACTAAAAATACAAAATATTACCTGGGCGTGATGGCGCACGCCTATTATCCCAGCTACTCCGGAGGCTGAGGCAGGAGAATCGCTTGAACCCGGGAGGTGGAGGTTGCAGTGAACCAAAATTGTGGCATTGCACTCTAGCCTGGGTGACTAAAGGAAACCCTGTCTCAAAAAAAAATTTTTGGACTGAGCTTTAAGCTTCTGCCAGGCACAGCAGAGGTTGCAAAGTGAAAATCACATAATTGTTCTACATATGTGCCAATGCAAAAAAATTTTGTTTTAAGAAAAAAGAAATTTAAAATTTAAATTAAAAGAAAAAGAATCTCCTATACATGCCGTCCCAAAGAGTTTGCAGTGCATTGGAGGTCAAAGATCAGTACAGAGACTTCGCCAGGTAGCATAAAAATAAAGAAATGCTAAAAGAGAAGGGTGACTTGTTCTTTTACTCCATGATGAGAGAGGGTCAATCTCTTGCTGAAGGGATCAGGGAAGGCTTCCTGGAAGAAGTGGCAGGGCTTCGTTGTCCTTTGCTGGACATTTGCAGTAAAGGGGAGGCCATTCTGGGTGGAGGAACCAGCTGTCTGCAAGGATAGGAAAAAGGAGATGAGACAAACACACACACACACACACACACACACACACATATGGAGACAAAAAGGAGATGAGTCACACACACACACACACAGACACACATATGCACACACGCATACACACGCACACATATATGGAGAGATTAATAATTTTGTTTGGGCCGGGCTCGATGGCTCACACCTGTAATCCCAGCACTTTGGGAGGCTGAGGCAGGCAGATCACTTGAGCTCAGGAGTTTGAGACCAGCCTGGCCAACATAGCAGAACCTTGTCTCTACTAAAAATACAAAAATTAGCCAGCTGTGGTGGCAGGTGCCTGCAGTTTCAGCTACTCAGGAGGCCAAGCCAGAAGACTTACTTGAACCCAAGAGACGAAGGCTACATGAGCCTAGATTGTGCCACTCACTGCATTCTAGCCTGGGTGGCAGAGCAAGACTCTGTCTCAAAATAGCAATAATAACTTTTTTGGCTAACATGGTGTTCTTCAATCTTTTTTTCATTATTGCCCCTCATATTTTTTCTAAGGGCCTCCTTTCTCCATAAAATATTTGTTGTTGTTGTTGTTTTTGAGATGGAGTCTCACTCTGTCCCGCAGGATGGAGTGCAGTGGCGTGATCTTGGCTCATTGCAATCTCAGCCTCCTGGGTTCAAGCAATTCTCCTGCCTCAGCCTTCCAAGTAGCTGGGATTACAGGTGCCTGCCACCATGCCCAGCTAATTTTTTTTTTTTTT